CATAAGTCCTTAATCATTTTACTCACCTATTTTTTTTTTTTACAACATATTATCTGGTACTTTTTGTTGTGCATAGGTATTTAGTCATTTTTTGTGCAAAAATGCATGCATATTTGTGTATTTTATAGAGCTAGAATCCCTTAACCCAAATAATAATCATAATAACTGACAATATTTTTTTCCATATTCTTTCACTTGCAAATATTTTGTAAATTTAAAACACGATTAAGATCAAAAATAGGCCAGCATAGACTAACTAGGTTTGGCTTTGCTGCATGTGCATAAAAATATTATTGTATCCATTGATGAAACAATCAACAAATTTATCAAAATAAAAAAAAGGAATTAGGAATTGATTATTTGACTACTTACCAACTTTATGTTTTCTACTTAGGTATTTGATAAAACAAGTTACCTATCTTAATTGTTTTTTAAAGTTTTTAAAAAATAATTAATAGGTACTATTACTAGTATTTGTTGTTCTTTTTTATACAGGATTCAGACTGAAGGTACAATTTTAATATAAGAACTATTTGTGTTGTTATTATTAATACTTATTTTATATGCAGTAGGTATTTAAACACAGTGCCAGATTATCCATTAGGCAGAGTAGGCGCCCGCCTTAGAGCCTCACTAATTTAAGGGGCCCTGTGAAAACGGAAAACTATATTTTTTTTTATTTAATAATACCTGCATTTTATTTACGAATTTACAGGACAAAATTCATTATGAAATATAATATATATTAAGTTGTAGGTGTTATATGCAGTGATAATAACAAAATTATTTTGAAAAAAATAGAAATAATATAATAATTCATTAATTTTTCTTGCAAACAAAAAAAATTAATAAACATGATTATATTTATTAATAATAGTTGGTTATTATTAAAGCTATTTATTTTAATTGTTGAATTGTAATGTTAAAGATGTATGTAATAAATAATTTTATAGGGCCCAAAATTTTAATTGCCTAGAGGTCCACAAATGTTTAATCCGGCTCTGTTTAAATGTATTTATTAAATAAATATTAAATTTAATTTGGTACTTTTATTTTTATTTATTCACTCAAATGAACAACAGGAACATGAGCTGTAGATAATGAACTAGGGGCGTACCCAAAATTTTTTTAAGGGGGGCCAACATTTTTATTTCATCTGGTCTCTAATTATAATTATAGTTTAATTCAATATCAACAAATTACTGTTAATAACTATAGTAATAGTCATAATAGTTATATACACATCACACATATTCTGCACAAAGGTTTACTATAATACGTACTATAATTTAAAATCAATCTTTATTTGATAATAAAATGTTATAAAAAATACATTATTTAATTAACAATAATAAATAATATTAAAAAATCAGTACCTATAAATTAAACATGATTTATACATTATTGGTATATTATATATTCTATGAACTTTGTATACTGAAAATAATGGGAAATTAAATTACACTATCTATATATTATTTACTATTAAACCATTGAGTATGTATAAATTTTAATGGGAGGGTTCGGACCCGAAAACCCTCCCTGGGGGTACGCCCTTGTAATAAACTGTAAATTATTTTCAATTTTGTATTGAAGAATAATTATTTTCCCCCCCCCCCCCCCCCCCATGGCCTCAACTCAATTAAGCCCTTGTGCGTAATAATGTACAATAATGACAATAATTTTCGTATTAAAATCGTAACATTCGAAACATAGACAAGACTACACATTACAATTAGAGGCCAAAAACTTTACCCTCAAGATCTAATTTTATTTCAAGAACAAAGGTGTATATAGAAAGTACTAAAAGAAAAAAGTATTTTGGTAACTGTCCAATCATGAAATTTACAATGGTTCAAGAAAAGCTTTTTCTTAAAAAAATTTTAATTAATACTTATCTTAAAGCGTTTATTATAATTTGACATATATATTTTAATAAGCAAAGTAAAATATTGCTATAATAATAATAATTATTATTATAAATATTGTTATTATTTAGGCATTAGTATTATATTAGATTAGTGTAAGCCGTAAGCTAAAATAAAATATAAATTAATATTAATGAATCATCTTTGTTCTATATAATTTTTAAATAATTTTAGCGGTTGTAATTTTTTTATTAATAGAATTTTTGTTCGCTAATATTAAATACATCATCTTTGTACATTCTCTACACAATTTTTAATCACATTTTTATCTTTGAAATATTAGAAATTGTCTATTTAATTATATGTATACTTCTCATTATTTATCATCTAATGGGACGTAGCACTTTTGAGGCTTTTTAGTTTGGAGCAACATATGAATTCTGTTTTTTTCGTTCCCTGAAACCAGTGGCGTAGCCAAAGGGGGGCTAAGGGGGCTATAGCCTCCCCCATGGGCCGTGTTTATATGTATAATGTATCTTGACTATTTCATAGAATCAATGCTCGTTTTAATCAAAGGCTTATTGATGTTATGCCACTTGAAGGACTTATTCCTGCCAATTTAAATATGTATGACGATAAAAATATTATAAAAGCTGCTAAAATATATGTCCAAATCTCCATGATGATACCTCATTTACAATCAGAGCTGACCTGTTCATATGGAGGCAACAATGAAGTCTAATACTATTCCAAAATCAAATTCTGCTCTTGATTCACTCTCTCATCGCACCAATCTTCGACCTAACATTAAAATACTTTTACAATTATTCGCCACGTTACCAGTTACCTCTTTCACTCCGGAAAGAACGTTTTCAGCACTTAATCGCTTAAAAATTTTTTTAAGAAGCACCCTGTCGGAAAACAGACTGAATGGATTAGCTATGGCTTATATAAATAAAAAATAGCAATTCGATGAAAATGAAATAATAACTGAATTTGCCAGAAATTCGCCTAAGAGGATGCAGCTGTCAGAGTGGAGCAAGTGACTGAACACTGAAACCAAAATTATTATTATTATTATAAAATATATATAAATAAATATTTTTAAAACTATACTAAAATGCTTGAATTATGTTTAGAAACCTGGTGGTAGATGGTGGGAGGGGGTCAAGGGTGAATTCTCATATTCTCTCTTATCTTACTTATCCAAAAAATGTGGTTAGCCCCCCTCATTTAAAAATCCTAGCTACGCCACTGCCTGAAACAACATACGTCTCAATTAAAATGTGTTATCGTTATATCTTACCTAAAAAATATCGCTATCTCGACAATACTCTCTCTTTTATCTCCATAAATCTACGATTACAAGACCCACTCAAACTAATGTTCTAGACGACGAGAGACTTCCGGCCATCTAATACGTAGACCCAGATTTCAACTATTGTATTTCAAGTTGGCGTAACCTTGTAAAAACTTACCCCAATCAGATTGTAATAGTGGTATTCAACTACTATATTGCAGTTCATTTTGTAAAATTTTCGAATTTTATAAATTCTAATCACTCGATCCTATATTTTTTGTTTTCCTTATCCATCAGTAAACAAACAAATTAGGAACACAGCGATTCGTACCTTAAACCATTTCAACTCGTTAATTATAATTTTCACTATAACTTTCAGGTAATTTTAATGTAAATAAAAACTGTGCAATTAGACTAAGTCATACACGCATTGTTTTGTTTCGTATCCTTGCTTCTGTAGCCCTTTAAAACACGGAGCCTGGATGTGTCACACTCCTTTGCGCACTTCATCGACCGATATTAAGAATACTTTTATTTTTTATTCAGCTCAATAAAAATCATTGTAATAAGTCAATAAATCCAGATAAAAAAATTTAAGTAAATCACTGTTTGTTACATAATAATATTATGTATAACGAACAATAAGATACACGATAAGAAAAAAATTATTTCCAAATTTTAACTTTCTTAAAAAAATAATAACTAGACATAATAATAATATGTTTAAGCATTATTAGAGTGATATATAATAAGTAATTATACACCTAAAATATTAAAAATAAATCGTAAATTTAAAAGTATATAAATAAGTTTTGTACCTACTTTTGTTATATTTTTTTTTAAATCATATCTCCTTTAAATATTTAAGTAACAAAATCGGAATTGTTTAAATGTTGGTATAGTGACTTTTAGTTATATTGGTATCAATAAAATGATTATAACTATTTAAATCATCATATGCATAGGTATTCAAACAAAAACTATAAACATTTAATCTAATTTTTGGTTATGAGAAAAAGCAAGTATTATCAAAAAAAAAAAATAAATAAATAAATAAATAAATAAATAATAGCTTTTTTAGCAGTTTTATTAGTTTTATCTAAGCATTATGAATAATTATATGATATTCGGTTATAATTAATATTGAAATACAAAGACTTATCATGGGTATTAAACCAATAACCAATGTTTTAATTACTTCTCAAATAATTGTTGGCACTAAACAGAATAAAAATTTTAAAAACGATTGTTTAAGAAATTGTTAGTGAATTTACTTTTCAGTTGATGTTTTTTTGATTTAATGCCAAACGTGTATTTAAAGTAAATCTTCTATTTCAATTTCATAAAACATAGTATTGATAAGAGATAAGGGCATCTAATGTAACGTCATTATATCGCAGTGTGGATCATAATATTATGCCATTATGTCATTTATTAACAAGTTCCTCTATAGCTAATTTGGCTTTTGTTTCGTAATTTAAATTGATTGATGTACCCCTCTCTTAAAATCAAAAATTTGGCAAGTGTGAATCTCAATGTCTATACTTCCTTCACACACCCATTGATCAAGCATATTAATATAATATATTAATTAAACAAAAGTGTTAACCAGGTCAAGTAGATCTGGAAAAAAAGACACAAGTCACATTCATCTGTATGTCACATATTATTCTCCCCTTCTCCCCTAACGGATCCGTTAATTTTTTCAACTAATTGCATTATTTTACCAGCTATCGGTACACAACATTTTTAGGAAATAAATTTAAGCATATTGAGAAATTTGTGAGAGCTCAAGGTGAGTAGATAATTGACATGGTAAACATCTGTGTTGCTTAATATAGAACACTTATCAAAAATAGAAACGGTACAAGACAAAATATCGAGAAGAGGTTTGACAGAGACTTAGTCTGTGTTTTGGCAGCACCATGGCACTTCAAGAGGCAAGTCAATCATACGTCTCAGTCGAATTTGAAGTATTCGGAAAAGTACAAGGTAAATAACCTTTTTCTCGTACTTTCGATCATTTTACGTTTGTATACAATCAATATAATACAATGTTATGCAATGATTGTTGTTTTAGTGTTAATTGAAGAATTAATTTCACGTTAATGTTTACTACCAATTTACAAATTGAAATAATTTTAATGATAATTGATAAATTAATTCAATGCCTAATAAACTAAAAACCGATACGGAAAATTAAGCTTGATTAATTAACCATATTATTTAATAGCCTAATCGTATAAACTGTGTAACTTGATCATTAAAAAAATTACATTGTGGATTATATTTTTAAACTTTATTAATAGTTCACACAAACATTCGATAGTCACTACACATATACTTATTTAAAAGAACCATAACGTTTACAATACATATTTAAATTTGCTTGGTTTAATTATTGTTTAATTATTTTTTTTTTTTTTTTTTTTGTTTAATTATTTTCAACATCAACTAAACCGTGCAAATTGCACTTAAATTATACTTAATTTTTATTAGAAGTAATAGTTTTTAATATTTAAAACAAATTAAATTATTTACTTAACCTATTTTTATTTGGCCAATGTATTTAAATTATTTACTTAACAAAAACATAGTTCAAGAATGACAGCCACGGGACTTCTTTCCCCACATATTTATTATATGGCCTAATACAATAAAGTGTCATTATAATTCATAAACAACTGTTTCTTATCCAAGTTTATTTTGTACAATAGTTCAAACAAGGAAGTTTCATTAGGTTATTAAATCAACAAATTTTACCGAGATAATCTATAGTCAACAACCACTACAATGTACAACTACCTACTATGCTGTATTACATACTACCTACACAAACAACTTTATGTGATCTCTCCCTTTATTACACATATTAAAAAATCTATTTATATGGTTAGTATCTTTTCTTTAAATGGATGATTTAAATTTGGTGAAATATTTAGGTACATAAAATAAATAAGATTGATAATAATTTATAAAATAGATGCAGTAAATTTAATTATTTTAATTTGATGACGAGATTTAAAATTTCAATTAAAAGAAAAAACTTTTGATACATCTCAACTATAATTTACTTGAAACAGAAAACGTTTAAACAAACTTATAAATAAACTTTAAGTACAATAAAATAAACAAAGTGCAAGTAGTTGAAACATCAAAAATGACAATGATTATTATTTGGCATAAGATGGGTTCGACCATATATACATACATAACTTGCCAAGTATAATTAAGTTGATAAAAATCATTCAAATATATTGCAAGATGAAGTTTATTATCTAATATTATTTTAAATATAAAGTTTATAATAATATTGAAAATAAAGTGGAAATTACATGAATATGTTGCAAATACAAATAAATAAAAGTTGACGGTTCATTTTAAAACAACGTTTCAGAATTCAGACAAGACAGTAGATTATATTTTTTTAGTTTCATTAGTTTAAAAGCTTATTAATTTGTTAAGAAATAACTAATTCTCGATTAGGCAAAATTAAAGAAGGGGGACTCTGTTTACTTTAAAAAAAGAGCATTCCGAAAACTTTTTAAGTGTTATAATTATAAGGTAATAATAGTAGGGAGACGCTAACATTTCTGAAAATTAGTTGGGGTATTCTGTTCGTACCCCAAGTCAAGCACTGAAAATAATAAATAGACAATATTTAATTTAACTATACTCACACTTTCCCTAGAAAGTAAAAGTAAAATTATTACTGCTACATATTATAAACAAACCAGCTAGGTATGTAAGTATACAAAAATCTAATTCCATTAAATTTTACGAAATGCCTTTCATTATAATAAACTTATAAAAGTACATATTATAAACCCTATATTACTAACATAAAAATTAAATTATAATTATTAAAGAAGACGCCATACTAAAACGAGAATGTAACAAATACTCCAAAGAGTGATGTTTTCCATATCGCCAACGTCACGTCGCGGTTGGTCTTCGCATAAAGATTTAGATTTTTAAAAATCTGCTTCCAAAAAAACTTTGTAAATGCGATCACCTCATTAACGGGAAAAATGTACGTGTCTATTATTATTGAATACCTCGTACCATTTGAAATACTAAAGCACTATTTCACTACAAAAATTCTTGGTGTGTTGTACTCTTAACCCGTATTAACTTAACTTAACACTTTAAATGTGAAATAGATTTATTTCAAAATTCACTTTTTTATTTTTAAGGTAGTATAAACAACATTTTATTTTTAAGAAAATATATTTAAAAATTCTATAGAACTGTATTTAAATGTGATCATATCTACATTAAATTATTCAAAAATACTTATCTTTATACAGCCATTTGCAGAATAAAATTTAACGAACTGAAAAATGAATCTTTAGACTATTTTAAAATCAATGATTTTACTAAATATTTCAAGTACACACTATTTCACCTCCACAGATATTGTCTTTATTTATTATTTAAAAATTATTTAAAATTAAAACATTTTATATACTTTGCAGTGGCGTCTTCAGGGAGGAGGTGAATGGAGCAGTTCCCATGGCTTTTTTTTTCTTTAAATGTTTGTTATTTATTATTTATATCGTACTAGAAAAATTAATAAATGTGAATACATATGTAAAGTTCTCTTCCCCCCCCCCCCCAATAAAAGGATCTATGACACTACTGAGTCGCGGTAATTAGATTATCGGTATTTGCTAACAATTAAAATTCAAAAAAAATATGTTGTCATTGTATAAAATAAATAATCAATATAATATTAATGGATACTATTATATCAAAATAAATCATCTACTTAAAATAAAATATTTACCTGCAAGAAAAAGAAAGTTTGGATAGGTAATATAAATAGCACATGGTATATAATCACTATACTTTGAGTGATCTATAAAGTTATCAATTAACATTTAGTTCTAGCTGTTACATTAATAAAGACGTCTTACATCGAATTATTGTATCTGTAACTCTATTATAATGTAACGTAGCAGATAAATAACAAATTTATTTTCAATGAAATTAATATAAACAGAATCTGGTTTATATTAAACAGGACACAAAATAAGAGCTAGGTATTAAATTAAAAAATAGTAAGATAAGCAAACTTTTTGTGATGTAACTGAATGTTTTTCAAAATTTTAATTTTACCTAAATATCAATAAATATAAAATTGTCATCTCAAAAGTTTCAATGCTATGTATTCTATTAGTTACTATTACTACCTATTAATGTAATTTATAAAAATGTTGGTAAAATTAAATAATAACAATGTTGATCTTAAAAAATCTAAACTATCTATATTACTTTACAATAAGACAATAAATTATTAATTGATAGGTTGGCTTCAAGTAAATATTACTATATATTAATAAAATCCATATAAATTAAAAAATTAACAAAATAATTATATAACAATTTTTTGAAATACATCGCGTGTATTTAAATATAAAAAATGAACATTTAACAAGTTTTGATTAATATTGTACATTTTAAGAGCTCAAAATTGAATGGTAGAACATTTTAATTATTAATACAAAATTAGTTATTTTATCATAACTAAAGTGAAATACAAAACTTGATTGAAATTTTTTATTTTTTTTCTTAAAGGACAATTTTTGAAACAATTAAAAATGAGAATCATTTCCTGTACTTACTCAGTTAATATTTAATACAACTTTAATGAATTTAGGTGTTTATTTCACCAAATACTGCAGAGATCGAAGTGCAGAGCTTGATATTGTTGGATGGGTCAAGAACAGTAAAAGAGGAACAATAATGGGCAAAATGCAAGGTCCAAAAGCAAATGTAGAAGTGATGTAAGTTACAAGGTCATAGAATAATTAATAAAAACATAAAAGAAACTTTTATCTAACACCTAAAATTATCCTAGACCTAGACAGTTTTAAAAGCTTTTCTATCTTAATTATTGTTCAATCATATATATTTTTAACTAAAATACAACTTCAATTCTTATTCCTACTATTCCTCGAGGGCTTATTCTTCATCAATAAATAATTATATGTTATACATGGTCGCATTTAATTTTTTTAATTTTCATAACTAGAAAATTATAAATTCTATACTAAAATGTCTTTTGAATAGATATAATAAAATAAAATATTATATCATCTATCAATTATTTTTATTTTATAGTATAGTTATAACAAAGAGAAACCAATTAAAGTATGAATCAATTGTATATCCCAGAAAGGAAGTTCTAGTTCAGATTACCGCTACCATTGAATTAGAAATTTACTGATACACTTATTATTTTGTTTAAAATGTAATATAACTATTTATTTGGATTTAGAAGATTATATTACCTTACTTAATATGATTTTTTGGCTCTTCTATTTAAATTGACGGGTATACTCCTGATTTAAGTACTCCAGTCATAGTCTCATAATTCGTTTTCAGCAAATATATCAAAAAGACCATACATACAAATGTATGTTTATCAAATATTATATTTATAAAAAGTATTTGAGGTACTTCAATTTGATATTTTTTTAATACAAATAAAATAAATATAACTTCTGAAAAAATAGACTAATTTAATATCTTTATATATTAATTATTATAGAGTTTAACACAATAATCTAAAATATTTGAAAACTCAAAAGCTTAATTTTCACAAAAATAATTTTGTAAATTAAATTAATAAAATACTCTACCCTCATATGTGGTCTTTGTGTCTTACATGTGTACAACATAGCAAATATGTATTCAGTAAAATAAATTTTGTGTTATTAGCTGTATTAGAGTATGCGGACTTAAAAAAAGAACATTATCATTATTTGTACCTCAGTTCTTTACAATGTTTTAATTTTTAAAAAATTATAAGATTTTAAAAATTATTATATTTTACACTCTTTTAGTTTTCTAATGTGTTATAATTTGAAGGAATACTTATTAATCATTGAAAAATGTAAATATCAAATAATAATAATAATAATAATAATATATCACTTACCGCAAAATTTTCAGATGAGTAAGCATTCAGCATATTATTAGTATGACTATATTATTACTATAGTGCTTGGAATTTTTTATTTTTGTATTAACTAAATTATAAATGCAATTTAATTAAAAATTAATACTTCATTTAATAATGGATTTATTATATGTTTTCTAAAATCTTAACATATTTTAATACCTAAAATGAAAGTTTAACTTCAAAATATTATGTATTACAGGATTGCTTGGTTATCAAATGAAGGTAGTCCTGGAAGCAAAATAGAACGGTGTGATCTAATGAACTTTGAATACTTGGCAAGGAAAGAGTTCAATGGGTTTAGTATAAGATTTTAATCATTCTCAACAAAAGTATTATATTTATGCGGGTATTGGAAAACACAGGGAAGATATTAAAAATTCTACCTTATTAAAGAAAAAAAAAGACAAGACATGTACATATTGTTAAAATTTTTATACGTTATTTATTATATTTAAAAGTTGATACTAGTTTGAACGTTAATTACATATTTATCTTAATAATAATATTTTAAATATGTAAATCAAATCGCATAAATATTATAATGTATTAGAAAAATGAATAAAATAAACTATTGGCAAAACAATCTATTTAATTTATACATCTTAAATTCTAAGAATTTTGGTTAAAAATATTTACAATTTTTATTTTCCTGTTATGTTATTTGTAATCACATACACTATACAATATATCAGGTGTCATTCATAACAAATGTCATTATTATTTTCAATTATGATCAATATACTTGTCTTTAAAGAAAAAGAACATGAAGAAAAACAGAAAATTACTATATTTGAATCAAATGACTTTTAATTTATAAAGTTCATAAATGGCAAAAAACAAAATATACAATGTTTGTAATTTAAATAGTCTCAATAATTTTTTTTACAAATGTTTGGAAGGTGACCCAGAATCGTTGTTTATATCTGTGTAAAAAAAAAAAAATTTAAGTAAAATAAATCTATATTTTTTAATTAGTAACAGATTCTATCTATCAATACAGCATACAAATGTATAAGGATAATTTTTAAACTAATAGTAAGTCTTTTGAGATCTATTTGGCTCATAGAAATTAAAAAAAGCAATAAATATAAATTACCAGATTATCTATTAAATAAAAATAATAAGCATTCATGTAAATTTTTTTTAAATTTTAATAATTAAAACAAGAAAAAAGAACATCATATTACCTTAAGGTTTTATACTATTAACATTTTTAACATTTACAAATGCAATAAAAATTATTTATTTATTAAAAAATACTTTACTTATTAAATAATGAAAATTTTACATATATAAATTAAAAGAAATTAAAGGAAATTAAAGGCTAAATATTTATTATACATACAAAATATTGTTTACTATGGCTCACTGTTAAATTTAAAAATATTTGAAAGTAAATTAGCAGATTGAAATATAAGTCTATTTTCTATGATAACATAGTAAACACAAAATATGTTATTTTAAACTATGAAAAAAATAATATTTTTATATGCTACATTAAATAAACCTTATACCAATTTCATTTAACATTATATTAAAATTAATATATGATATTCAATAAAGGGTATCAAAGTAAATACAATGTATTTTTTTTTTTGTTTTTCAATCCGAAGATTGGTTTTTAACAAATGTTTTACAATAAATGTATTACTGTATAGTAAATATATTGTTTAATAGACAATACATTTATTAAATAAATAATAAATTATAAAACATACAAGATTAAAGTAATTATTTTTAGAACACATTTGATGATAACATAAATATTTAATTTAAATATTTATACATAATCCATTTATTCATTAATTAGAATTTATTTAATACTTAAAATTTTATATTTAAAAATAAATTAAATACTTTAAATTAACTGTTTGGACTGTAAGAATGAAATCAAACTTAAAATATAATATTAATATTTTATTCATTAATTTCATAAAATTTAAACATTTTCTTAATTATTATCTAATAAATGTAATGGTTGTTAATGTTTAAAAACATTATTAGATTAACAAATAAAAATTTGGTGTATAAAAAAGCATATAAATGTATAACTATTGACTAGTTAAATCATTAATTTTGAACTTCCATAAATTAATATAATTAACGAAGCAAATCATCAATATAAAACTTACCACTTTTATTAACTTTCTGTTTACGATATTTAGCAGCTGGACCCCAAATACGAACTGTGCAATCATCAGAAACAGAAGCAAGCATTTGATGGTAGACTGGGTTCCAACTAACACATGTAACTGCTCTTGTATGACCAGTCAATGTTGTTATTGGTAGTTCATGTTTAATATGCCATAAATATACTTTATTATCTACAAGTAATTTATAAATATAAAAAATAATATAATTGTTTCCATAGTTAAATTGTATTTTCAAACCTTCACTTCCACTAGCAATAAAATCCTGATTAACGCCACCAAAACAACTGTGTACAGTAAAATGGTCTTGTGTAACTCCTTGAAATTTTCTTACTAAACACTTATCTTGGAGATCCCATAAATGAACACCTTGCGATACAACATTTAAAAGTGCAAGACGATCAGTCTTATTAACTGTAAATGACATTATAGGATGGTCTCGATCTTCTTGTATTCTATTGGAACATTACCAATATTAAAATCAAAACTATGATAATACTATTTTAAAGTACTCACAAATTTTGATCACTTAGCTCATCAAAATTGTATGAACGAATTCGTTGACGTGTATCTGCTGCTAACACAGTTTTCCCATCAGATCGACACCAAAGACCATTCACTCTAACACCTTCCCATGAATCTAACACAGACCCTTCTAAATCCTAAAATGTAATATCTTATATATAAACATTTTAACACTAAAAATATTTAACATATAATAAAAATATTTTTTATTTACACATTGATAAAATTGTCCTCGAATTCCTCCGCAAACAAATTTTTGGCCATCTTTATGCCAAGAACAGGCAGTTAATGAATCATCCGATGAATGTGACAGTTTTAACCTTAAGACACCAGTGTTAACATTCCACACCCATAAGTCAGGACAGTCTTGTGGACCACAAGCCATGAGGAGTTCACCATCTGGAGACCACGAAAGGTAACTAACTCCGTATGAATGGCCATCTAAAGTGATTGATTGCTCAACAGTTAATGTCTCCTGAAAAATTATGTTTAAGTTAAACTGAATAAGATTTTTTTTTTATACAATTAACATACTGGATCAACATCATAAATTATAATGGTTGCATCTCTTGAACCTGTAGCTAATTTTTTTCCATCAGGTGAAAACCGACAGAACCATACTTCATCACAATGTTCAGTCAGTATTTGGACGGTTTCACAAGGAATTTGTTCTCTACAATATAAGCAATTCTTTTTTTACACAAATACATAATTTTATTTTAAAATACAGATTACTTACAATGAACACTTATGGTCAGTTAGTAAGGAAACATTTTCAATGGAATCATCAAACATTGTATTGTGGAATAAACATTGATTTCTCTGCAATTCTACTGCCTGAGTTAATAACATATGCAACCTGAAATAAACATACAATTTTTATCAATGATTGCAACAAAATATATAGATTTAATTTTCTTATTTCTATACATGTATATTAAGTGAATATATATATTTCTTAAAATAATTATAAAATTATAAATTTATTTCCTTATACTATATATGTCTTTAAGTTTAAGCTTTCCTGTAAATATAAAATCAAATTATAACAAAATGAACACGATTACTTAAAAATATAATAGTTTTACATAATAAAAAATTAAAAAAGATAATATACCTTTTAGGTGGTAGCATAATATGTGGAGGCAAGAACTGTTGTATCATATCCATAAGCAATGTTCTAGACTTAATTCCTTTACCTTCCCAATTTGCTCGTTTCATTAATTCATCTCGTCCACTACACATCATGTAACTAAAACGAAAAAATTAAGAAAATAATTGTTATTTTATTCAAACAAATAATGACTTATTTTTTATTTATTATTGAATTATTAATTTATAGTGAAATTGCAACTGTAAGAACACTAAAACTATCAACTAAGTACCTGCTGAGCATATGAACTTTATCAATATTATGTTGCAAAGGTGTTAACTCATTTCGCAATACATGTAAAGCATCCAAAACTTTGCCATCTTCTAAATATTCCAAGTACTTTTGTTCAAATATCAAAAATTTCATATCCTATAAAAAAAATCATATAAATAAAAAACAATTTATTTATATATATAATCTAGGAACTAAAATTAGAGGAAGCTCCAGCATCAAAATTTATGATAGGGAATTAAATAGGGGATTCTATCCCCCATACGCCCCAGTACTTGTTGGCTGTTATCACCATTTTATATATTTATGCTACAAAAATAAAATTGTACATTTATTCTTTTGAGTGACGAATATTTTTGTATTTACTTTTACTTTATTAGTCCTATACAACCTGATATTTTACACAGTACAATAATATAATAGTTTGCCAATAAAATTTTTTTTTAAGATGTTATTAATAAAAAATAAAGCAATAATTTAAATGCAATTTTAAAAATGAAGCTACCGTTGGCGAGACTAGGATTTATGATAGGGGGATTTAGTCTCCCAAGCCCTTTCTTAGTTATGCTTATGAAGAACATCAATAATTAATATCTTTATTGTATAATTAAATAAAATGATAACCCTAATTATTGAATTTCACCTCATTTTTTATATTTGTGTCAATTTAAAAAATAAAATACATTTATACTGTTAAAAAAATATTATAAAAGAAACACTTAATTTTTAATTAAAAAAAACTGTATTAATTGCACTTTAAAAAAATTAAACTTACCAAAAAGTACTGGCATGAATTTCCTACTAAAGTTTGAAGTTCATTTAAATCTGCACTAACCTAAAATTATATTGTTATATTATTAAAAAAAAAAAATCTTTAAAATTAAAAAACCAATTACATTTTAGCTACAACCAATTTTTTTACCATAAATAATATAAGCAATTGTAAATTATTAGTAAAAAAATATACTCCATAGTACATACTTTATGCCATTCACCATCCATTACATGATGGCGAAATTGTGTAGCAGCAGGATGTTCTAAACGACATCCTGATTCTTGCATCAATACTTCTGCTGTTTGACTGAAATTAAAAAAACATGATATGTAAAATATTATTTATATCATTATTTGAAAATTAGTAATATTATCAAAAATAAATTATTTTAACTAAATATGCACTATAAATAAATTCATTAAACTCATATGTCAAATAAATAACATAATTTATAAATGCAAAAAACTATATGGATATAAAATATGTAAGATTTGTAATCCATAAAAATTAGATGAGAATATTTTGAATAATTTAAATAATTTAAATAAATGTTGAGAAAAAATATTACATGTACTATATACATTTAATTTCATAAACTGGACATAAATTTTTAAAACAATAAAACAATAGTATATATATATATATATATAATATTATACATATAAATTTAATAATAGTAGACTCACACTAACTCAAAATTCTATAGTTATTGAAGATTAGATAATTCTCCAAAGCTTTTACCGAAATTCCAAATTAAAATGTTAGTAATCTTACTACTTATTAATAAGTAATAAAACTAACTTGTATTAAATTGTATACAAGAGTATAATTAATAATTAAAAAAGATAATAAATCATTAATTTTTAATATTATCAATTCTATGATGTTCATTACTTGAAAGACAAAATAGAATTTGCAATATTATGATTGATATATTTATAAAATGTTTGTGTTTCATTGACAAGTGATATCCTAATATACAAGCAAAATTACTTATACTAACAAAATATCATAGTAAAAATATGCCAAAAAATATAATAGTTTTGATAGAAAAAATTAGTGTACAAGAACTATATATTTTTTGCACGAGGAGATGCAGACAAATTTTTGTAAATATTGTGATTTTATAGTATATTTAATTTAAATTTAAATAACAAATGATAATCAATAGTACTGACTTATAAGTGATTTTATTATTTAAGAGTAGAAATATAAATACTTTATTTTATGCCATTTTATTTTATTTTTTAGACTGATATGTAAATCAAATTTCAATAAAAAAAAATAGTAGGTACTTTCATATAAGTATAAAAATAAAACTAAACGAGTATTTATTTGTTTAGAATTTTAATATAGGCATCTATTGGCTATTAACCTACATAGAATAAATATTATTCAAAAGTATGAAAGATAAAAGATGTTCAATTTTATACTTTTGCACACAGGTCCATTTTTGGGATGAACCACCACTGATCGAATTATCTATATAGTAATTAATATTTTTATTTGTAAATTATGAAACTATTAAATTACACAAAAACATAACTCTTAATAATCCATAAATATATAAATATTAATATACATAAATTATAACTACAAGGTAAAAAGAAAAGTTTCCAAAATGTTCATTCTTGTATTAGCAATTATGTAATTAAGAAAACCACTTCTCATTTCACATAAAATTTATTTTATTTTGAACGAATAAAAATATATCAATAAAAACTTACTTGAGCCCAATAAGTTTTAAATGTTGACCTATGAGCCGAACAATCTCTTGACTTGACCTGCCTTTAATATTACATCCATTGCTTTGTTCCTGGTCTTCATCATTGCCAATAGCTGAACCGTTAACAGTTGAACTAGATGATGGTTGATCCACCGATCCATTGTGTTGCAAACAGCCATTAGTTGACTGCAACATGGTCTCTTCCATATCCAAGTGCCTTTTCTTACGCGGTGGTGGAACAAGCCCACCGTCATCAGAATCGCCACTCGAGGCCAGTCTTGCTACGCGACGGCTGGATTTAAACGCTTTTCCCACCTCTACGAAAATCTATTATTGGACTACGACACATTAAATCTAAAAGAACGAATGCATCGATAGACATATTAATATTAAATTTAGTAAGTACTAGTTTCTTTTTTTATTTTATTTTTATTTATTTAATTTTTCCCCTCAACAGCTGTGCGAGATAAACATACTTATGTACGTACACACATACACGCGAACGCACGCACACACACACACACCTTTGTTATGTTTTGGATTCCTCCGTCCTTGACAAATCGTTGAATCACCAGGGTAACAGTAACAAGTCCAAAATATTACATAGGTGAATAATACTTCTATTAAAACATGATTAGTAACTTACCTTTAACTTTTAAACTTAACTAAACAATATTGTTGTTAATAAAATATCAATATTACAATTAGTCCTCTAACAGAACATAAATATTTTATCAAATGATGATTGACGGTGAAGTGAATAACTAGTTTACAAGTCGTTTAGGGCAAAATAGAATCCACCGATGAACGATTTATTTAACCTCAAAATGTTTTGATTATAGTTGTTATCATAATTATTGATAACAACAATAATCACAATTTCTACATTATCATTTATTATTCTCATCAATTGTACGACCATTAAGCCGAATAAAAAAATAAGAACTACCTATCTAGTATTTATGATTATTTGCAGTATGTAATTTAAAATTAATTTCAACTCATTGTTAATTTTTTTTTAATTAAATCAAATATTATTGTTATTTGATAATTTCATCTATAGTTATTGTTTCACCTTAAAGTTTAACCATGTGTAATAATACCAAAGAGGAAGATATTGTGGAAAAATGGGGCTTGCCATTGAAAGAACTATATACATTAGCTCTAAAGTTCTTTAAAGGTAAATACCTGTATTCTTTTAAGTATACAATCATTTCTATTTTGTGATTTAAAAGCTATTCTGTTTATGTGTATTTTATCCTTATTAATACTTAGTTTATTTTATTATATGTTATAGAAAAAGAAGGTAAAGCTATACATTTTACATATGATGATAAATTAAAACTTGTTGCATATACACGTCAAGTATGTCATGGAAAATTAGATGAGTCAAAATTACCTCCTTTAGGTGTATTTGATGTTATCGGAAGGGATCGGAGGTAAATTAAAATTACTATTAATAAATTTGATAAATTATGTTATAAATATGTATTAATTAATATTATTCTTCATATTATAGATTAGCTTGGCAAGCACTTGGTGATATGTCGACAGAAAACTCCATGATTAATTTTATTAAATTGGTTAATAAAGAATGTACTTTGTTCAAACATACTGTTGAAGCTTATAAAGCAGATTTGATTGAACAAAAACGAATAACGTGAATAAAATTATCATTAAATAATGAGAATATATGTTTTTAATTTCAATTGTATATACTTAGTTTCAAAACTAAAGCATGTTTATTGTGTTACAGTGAAGAAAATATGAAAAAAGAGCAAGAAGAATTAGAAAAACAACTTGCAGCAATGGAATTAAAACAAAAAGAAGAAGATGAAAGATGTAGGCAAGAAAATACCAAGTAATTTATACTTAACAATATATTGTATTATATATTACAATATTTTTATTTTCTTACTATTATTTAAATTTTAGGCAACTCATTCAAGAAGCGTTGAATAAACAAACTTATAGTCAGTTTTTAACATATGCGCAAAATCAATTTCCAAATAATCCTGATGAGGTTAGTTTTAACTTCTTATTATTAAATTAATTTAATATATTTAACTTTATTCATTTGACAAATCTATCAGTATTATATATTTTTATTATTTAACTGTCACAATAAATAATAACTCACACAAAAAAAATTCCTTTTTTAATGTAATTTTTAGCAAGCTGTACTTGTAAGGCAATTACAGGAGCAGCATTATCATCAATATATGCAACAATTACAACAAAACTATGAACCTGGGAAAGAATTAGAAATAGCCACTAATTCTATTACTATTCCTGAAGATAGAGTAATTGAACATGAAAGTGTCTGTAATGAACAATGCGAAAATGGCCATTGTCTTTCTGGAGAATGTGTGTATTTCATATTTTCATATTACATAATAAAAAAAATTTTGTGAAATCCCAAATATGTATATTTTACAATAGGCTCTGTTCAAACATTGTTTCCTGCGTCAATGTGGACTAGAAAAGATATTGATGAATTTAAAGCTAATTTAATTAGAGAAGGAGGAGAAACGGTTATTAAAGTTAATCACGGAGAAACAGTTACAGTAAGTTTTACATATTACATTGTAGTAATTGTTTGATTAAAAATAATTTATACTATATATTACATTAATTTATATTCTTAATAAATTATACATTTGATTAACTTAAAACTATTACTAGTGTTTTCTCTGATCACTAGAATTTCCCGTGCAAAATTATACATAATATATATATATATAAAAAAATAATAATTTTTAATATTATCTTGAAAGAAATTTAAGATATGAGTTTTGCTTAAAATGTCATAACTATCATACATTGTTAAAAAGGCAACATATTTAAATCTAGAACTACTAAATAAAATTTTAAGATAATATTTTATATCCAAATTATACCATTAAAAATTTAATAAAATATGTGTAAGATATGTTTAGATGTTCTGATAATTAAACATTTATTTCATGTATTAACTCAAAATAAAGAATCCCTCCAGTTTCATTTTAAAAAATTAAGAATTAACTGCAGTTATTATAAATAAAAGTAGGCAAGTTAAGTATTAATATCATAGTACATATTTCAGTACTTTTAAAGAAAAGTAACTTTAGTAGATGTTAGTGAAATTGTCAATAGTTATACAAGACATCCTCTTCTTACACATTTATTTTTAAGATTCAATTCAAGATATTGTGCTTTAATCTATATTCTTAATGTTAATTACACAAATTAAAATTTGTCTACATAATTATTGACATAAAAATATAATTCTTAGAACACTGTAAAAATGTTGAACAAGTGTTGACTAATCATTGGATATATGACTATACTACTGTAATACCTTAAATATTGATTGGGATGTATAAAAATTATAATTTTTTATCCTAAATCTTAGTAGAATACAGTATTAATAACAAATGTATGTAATATTTATGATCCTTAGTTGTACTAAGGATAAAAAGATAAAATAATACAATATTTCGAACCCCTTACAAGTAGCCTTTTGTGTTAGAAACACTAGACACTAAAATAATAATTAGGAACTATAAAAATTATCATGAAAAATTATTATAAGATAATTTAAATAAATAACTATTCCATGGAACAAATTTTGAACTATATATATACTTATTGAAAACATTTACTTATTAAAAAAAGAGCCATGCTTGAAGTACTAATAGATAATATATATATTAATAATAGATATTATATATTTATAATAGATCACATATAATGTATTGTTTTATTGTTATACCTAATTTAATTTATAATTTTTTAAAAGGTAAGAGTTCCTACAGCTGAAGGTGGTAATTGTGTATTTTGGGAATTTGCAACTGATGGCCATGATATAGGTTTTGGAGTTTACTTTGAATGGGTTAAACCTAGTACTAGTCAAGTTTCAGTTCATGTTTCAGAGAGTGAAGATGATGATTGTGATGACTTGGAGGATGATGATGATGGTAATATCAATCAAGGTATAAATACGTACATTGAATGATTTTAAATTGTATTGATGTCAATATTTGAGTTTTTAACATTATAATCCAAAACTTTAAAAAAAAAAAAAAACTGCTAAAATATTATTTAAATGTGCTATTGTAACAATTGTTTATAGATTTACTTAATGAATTAGAACAAAATGGTGTTACAATTCAAGATATTAAAAAGAGCAATCAATTAAATCGACCTCCATTGTCAATCATAATTCCTGTGTACCGCAGAGATTGTCATAAAGAAGTTTATGCTGGAAGTCACTTATATCCTGGTGAAGGAGTTTACTTACTTAAATTTGATAACTCATACAGTTTATGGAGATCTAAAACATTATATTATAGAATATATTACTCACAATAATGTTATAATTTTGTTTGTTCAATTTCCAACCAAATTTTACTTGGTGTAAAGTATTTTATTGCTCGATTATTTATGTTTTTAATTCAAGTCATAGTTATATAATCGTTTTTCATCAAAAAATTAATGAAGTATAATTTATTTAAAATATCTAATTTGAATAAGAAAATAGAATATCAAATGTAAAATTTAATATTAATTGTGCCATTCTGTAATTAAAAATTAGTAAAACTATTACGTTAATAGTTAAGTAATCCGATTTTAACCTGGATGGTATTAATTAAAATCTTTTATACCAATTTATATCCACCTCAAGATTGAGTAGTCATAAATATTTAACTCTTTCCCAGCAAATGATTGAGATCTCTAACAATAATATATAATTTAATGAATCCTGATTAATTGATGATACAAATTTTAATTCTAATGCGTATAAGATGTATTAAAAACTGTAATTATTTACAATATGTTAAATTTACCTTTCAAGTATTTAGAAAATATTTGAAAGAAACTCCTTTAACATATTCAACTGTAGAAAATTACTTATTATTTAATGTTATTATAGTAAAATTGTTTACGATAGAAAGATATTAAAAATTACAAATAATTTATATTAAAAAGTTGTACTATAAATTAATTTAATAGTATCACAATGAAATTGCTATTTAATTTTGGTAAGATTTAAGAATGCTTCCAAACCAGTGTATGTATAGTGCTTGTTTAATAATTTAAGGTTCCGTATCTATAGTTAATCTATTTGACAATTGTTGTAACAATATACTATTATTTTTAATGAAGCAAAAAATATTTTTTATTTCATAAAAAATATACCTATGTATAATTAATATACATAAATCTGTTAAAATATATAAAAATAAAACCATAATTAAAAAAAAAGAAAGAGATTAACTCTTTGAGGTAAATGATACAGCAACTATGTACAAAACGTAATTATAAGTATAAAAATATAAAACATTACCATTTTATATTTATCTTATACTTCTATTGCAATTATAAATATGTAAACATTTTTTTTTTACAAAATGTTTATTAGCAGTCTATTAAATTTACTATAATAGTCTCAGAACTGAGTGGTTCGATTATTTGAGTAAATAATTTACGCTAAGTATCATATTATAACTCTTATGCTTATTACAGCCATGTATACTAATATATATTTATACATATACATCAAATTTATCTGATTTAATTAGGAATATAACATAAATATTTATCATATGAAAATATTATCATGGAATACTTCTACAAGTATTCAAATATGAATTATATTTATTTTACTATGAATATGATTGTTTAATTATTTTGTTTATATATTTTTATAGGATATAACAGGGGTAGCCAACCCAAATGATTTTACGGGTCATTTTGAAAATACAATACGATCTCGCAGGCTATAAATAAAATTATATTAATATTTTGCCCAATACAAACAAATTTGGAGTAAATATTTTAAACAAGATTAATTAATATTACAAAATAATTTTTGCTGTATTAATTATTTGAAATAAACAGAATGGATTGTTATTGTTTTTATCACCGCATTTTAAATCCAATTCTTTTGAGTACTTTTTAAATTGTTGGTGCGGAAGCGCCTGTGATCAAATGTAATTCACTGTTTTTGACTACATGCATAACATGCTTTATTAACGATACTTAGGGACAAAGATTTTGTTAATGAATCAAACAATTTGTTGCGATAACGTTATTAATAAAACGGATTCCTCATTGTGCAGGCATTCAATATTTTATTGTGACAAAAATAAATTGTTTTTGTAAATGTTTGATAATTCTCGCGGGTTGGTCAACCCTGGGATATAAAGTGCTATTATTTAAAATGTCAATAATAGTTGAAAATAAATGTATAATATTTATACTTTAATATCAACAAATTTATTTATTCGAAAATATTTATTAATTAATTATTGTTAATCCTATATATACATAAATAAAAATAAACTACTTAAAATTAAGAAAAATTGTATTATTTTTATTTATGTAATGTAATTCAATATTCGCTTGAAAAACTAGTCACTATTATAATAATTCATTCAAAATATACTTTAGAATAATATATATTGATATCATAGAATAGATTATTATTTTATAATAACCTAATAGACTATGATATTAAGATAACCACAATATTTTATAGAAAAAGGAACGAACAGAAATTTGTCAATAATTGTCCTTATTATTTGGAAATTAGTATTATAAAATGTTAAAATATATATATAATTAAACCAATAGTCTTTCAATTTCAGTCTGAACTTGTTGTATTTGAGGCCGTAATTGGGATCCTTCATCGGTGGTTATAGAACATGCTATGACAGGCCTTGAAACACCACATGCTCGACCCAGTGCTATAAGACATCAATTTTTGTTATTGATAGATGAACATGTAACACAATATGTTTACATGTATTAACTTTTAATACAAACCTTGCTTAGATCTGATAAAAACATACGGCACATTTTTATCTTCACATAACAGTGGTAAATGCAACAATATTTCTAAAGGTTCTGCATCTGCTGCACATACTATAAATTCAGATATACCTCTGTTTAAAGTTTTAGTAGCTAAAAATAAAAATAAATAATTTATTAGCATATTGTAATAAAATAATAATACAGTAAAATATGTACTAACCTTCATTTGCTCCTTTGCGTAATTGCTTATAATTCATAGCTTGTTGGACCAAATTTAAAATTTTAGTTGTCAATTGTTGGTCAGCTAAAGGATACGCTTTAGGATTTACATCTAAAGTAATACTTTGGTCGTCCATCCTAAAGATTAATTTCTATTAACTAATTTTGTTACTATTTTAACCCAAAAATGTACCATTTTTTAATAGGTTCAAACTTAATATATTATTAGAAAAAATATAAACATATTTTGCTTTTAATTTAACTATCTAAATGATTGAAGACCTTGACGTAAAATCCAATTATAAATTTCATAATAATCACAAATTAATTTAAACTAATCATTTGAAATAAGAAAAACAATAAAACTTAACATCAATTGACAAAGATATTTATTTTAAAGATCAATTATACCAAATGTTTACATTAATTTTAATTTAAAGTATAAATAATAAATTCATAACAGGTGTCTAATTATAATAACATGTTTCACATCTCATGTCTAGTAAAAAACAAGGCTTTAAAACCATTATAAATTAATCAAAAAATAATTCTACACATATATTTAAATTAATAATTTAAATATTTAAATATTCGTTATCAAAATATTATTAAATTTATAAGATGTTATTTTACTAAATTTTTAGAGGGAAAGTAGAATAATATACAATTAAAAATTAGTTAAAGATAAATTGTAAACAGCAACAGCAAAAAAAAAAAATATTTTTAAATAAAATAATTATACGTCCAATACTTTTAATATACTTGATAAGCTGTATTAAATATATTATTAGAATGCAACCAGCTTATATTATCTAAATACGAATCGGAAAAAACCTTAAGCTTGAACAATTCGTGGTTAAAACTTTAATGAAAAAAATAAAAATAAATATCAAAATAATCATGTGCTCAACTAATGTTTACGTAAATATACAGAGTAAAATTAAATTGTGCAAATGTTCCACATAATAATGGCAAACTATTAAATTCCTAAGATCATAACAGGTTAAATACCTTGTTGTTTCAACGTTAACACGTGTATAGATTTATACTATCCACAGTTCGCATGTGCGAATTAAAATTTAAATCATTCACCTAACTTCAATACCGCTGGTGCGATTACCAACATTCACAAACATTGAAACTTACTTACTTAAAGTTATTTCTGTTAATAATTAAACACACAAATATTGACGTTCGACACAACAAAAACAGACCGTGAAGTTTAAAACAATTGTTAATGAGAAAATGTGAGGTTTAGTTCGTATCGGCATATTCGTTCGTTATTCATAAACAGAGACAAGACTTACGGTTCATACTTCTTGTTGTAATTTAATTTATCGTTTTTAACATCAGACTAGTTAAATCATACAATAGTTTAAATTTATTTGGTAAAAAAATATTGTACTCTGTGCATCACTGGATCACGGTCTTAGAAGATATCTTTTAAGACCGTGCACTTGATGTATCACAGATAACAAGGTGTATCAATACCACAAATTATATGAATGGAATTGAATTAATTGAATACAATCTGTGTCAATACACCTTGTCAGATAAAAAATAAATTATGTGATGTATGTTATAATAACACATTTACAACGTTAATCCTAGTTGATATAATAGTAAATTATCTTGCAAGATCGTGGTCAGTTTAAGTAAATTTTACATAAATTTGTGCAAATATTATAAGTAATTCATTTATCATTTATAGTATTTGAATTGTATTAGTGAATCTATTTAAAAATCTATGGAAAGTTAAAATGGAAATTGAATGTAAAAAAAAGAAAATTTACCATTTAATACTTATTTTATTTCTATTGCCAGTTTTTTTTATATTTAGTTATATAGTAGTATCAGGGGCATATTTATGGTGGTGCCGAGGGGATCCGGGCCCCCTCCGAAATGAAAAACACCATTGTTAAAGATCGTTATTTTTAACATGGATATGTCTTAATGCTGGGTGTTTCCGAAAATTTGTCGCGACACTGAGAATGTTGCTTATGCGATAATTTAAAATTTTATATTTATAAAATATGTTTATTCTTTTAAGAAAATATGCAGTGAATTTTGAGTGACTCTAATAAAAAATTTGTTTATTACAATGTAGTTATATACTTTTAAAAAATAATAAATCGTTAAAAAATTGAGTTTTTTATTTTTCTGATGGTATAAAGACAGTCAAAAAGTCTTATTGTGTTAAAGTAATTTTTTTCGTAATAATGTGCTTCCTCCTTTCCTTCCACCCAAAAATCAAATACATAATCAGCCCCTTTTGACAGTGGCGTATTTACGGGGGGATGGGTCCAGGGTTACTGGACCCCCCATAACCTCTCCAAAAAATAACAAATAAACTAAAATTCTTACATATTTGCAGAATTGGCTATGTAAAACATTCACAGGGAAGTTGAAATTACTATTGATGATGTGATAGAGGAGTTGGCCAAAAAATCGAGACAATTAGAATTTATTTTATAACAATACTTTATAATATATAATGTTAAATACAATATATAGGTATATATAACATTACATAAGACTATGCAATTATTACATTATATATTTAGTTCAACTTCCTCCAAAAACTGCATAAGGATGTAAATATTACAATATAATATATAGTTTATATTAGTTATATATAAACTATGGACCCTCCCCAGCAAGCGCGCCCGCAGTATAAAATCCCACCCGGGGCAAGATTAAAATTCTAAAAGTCACAACGTGTATCTAAAAATATATGAGAACAAAATCAAATACCATAGAAATTGGTCCTCGGGAGAATTTATAGTCTTAAGCGATATGCAGTCTTGCCTAAACATTGTAAACAAATAATTACATTCAAGATTATACATTTTAGAATATCTAAAAATATGATAAATTTTACTAAACTTCATAAATGGATCTCAATAAAATTATGTTATAATTAATATGCGTGGTATTAAATTAACAATAGTTTTGAAACAAAAATTCCCAGTAGGGGAAATGGCCCCTTTGGCCCCCCCCTGCGGGCGCCCATGCTCCCCAGAAAAAATTGAAAATACGCCATTGCCCCTCGAAATGAAAACTTATGTATATTTATTCACCTTATAATATATTTATCAACATTAGATAATGGCCACAAACATTAATAATACATTTTAACCATACATAACATTTTATACAGCGATAAATCAGCCTCTAATTTAACTGCTGATAAAGTATATTTTAACAACAGATAAAATTTAGAACATGGTCTATGCAACAGATTTTATTTTAACTACAGTTAAACAAGTTTATCCCTGTATAAATATTTGGTGCAACCCGACATAGGACATAATTTTATCAATTTTTAAATGTTGTTTTAGCAACTATATGATATCTGCCACTTACTAAAGTTCAAAAACTGAAAATATTAATTTTTCTAAAATACTAAAATATTATACACATTATGTTAATATGGTTTGTTGTGCATAATGTATATTTAATACTATTTCAGTTAGTAACTATTAGAAAACAATGATTACGAAGTATTCTTTAACAAAATGGATTTACATTACTAGGAACAAATTTTGGTTAAAATCCAACATTTAATTTTAACAATAATTTTACAAAAACATTGACAAAAATTCAATATACTATTTTTATCACCAAAATTTATATGGAATTATACCCTTTGGTTTTTCAATATAGCCTACTTCAATAACTTTTGAGATAAATGTTTTTAATCTCTGTACTGGCCCTCCACAACCAACTGGTGTAACTTCATCAATTTTTTTCAAATAATTAGAATTTATATATTGTAACATTTTCATGAACTGTCTTCCATAGGCTTTTTTGAGGTTATAACCAGTAATTACAAGCATTTCGTGTAAAAAAACTGCTGTTACATCTAATTGGGGAACTAAATTTACAGTTGCTGCAATTAGCATCCAGGCTTGTCCAATACCCAATACTTTACCACTTTTAGTTTCAGTGACTATAATTGCTGCAAATAATCTTATGATTCCAGTCATTCTTTTAACATACTTATCCTGTTTTTCAACAACTCCATTTGTATAGTTATAACATAAAGATTTATAGTACTCCTCGTCAGTTTCTTCATTTGTTTTTGCAGCATTATATGGAATAAGACAAGGACACTTTTGTTTAAATCTAGAGTATAGTAGTATACCAAAATCTGGATGGATTTTCCAAAGCTCTGTAACAATTGATGCAACTTCGAAAGCTGTTTCCGTTTTCACGCTAGCAACTTGTTCTCCTATATTAATGATTTTTTTAGCCAATGTATCTTTACAAAATATTAACGCATCTGGATGACTATTTGCTGATACAGTAGAGTTACCAGTTTTCACAGTTTTACAATTCAATAATGCATCAAGTTTATCAAATTTATCTTTCATATGCCATGAAGAAACTGAAGATATACTATTAACTGGGGTATTAATTGATTTAATTAACTCTTGTCTTAAAGATTTCAAATTATCATCGTGAAGAAAAGATGAATATGACTTTTCAATTTGTTTCAAATATTGCTGTAGTTCTAGATGATTTTCAATAAATTGTTTATAATCAGTTTCAAAATTATAAGACTTGGTGTTGTTTTTAATTTCCTTATGTCTTAGATCTTCAATTTTAAATGAAAAATTTGAGATAATGGTATCGTCTTCCTTTTCATTAGTCTTGAACTTAAATGTAAAGAATTCATCAGATTTAATTTCAGAGTTATCATCTACTTTAAATGTAAAATTTTGTATTTCAGATTTTGTTTCTTCAGATTTAAAAGGATTACTTTCTAAATTATCTATGTATTCATCATTATTTTCATTAATTTTAAACTCAAAATTCTTAGATGATAAATTATTCTTTTCATTTTCAGGACTATCAGATTTCAAAGAAATATTTTCAATATTTTTTACTAATTCATTATAGAGTACTTCAATATTTTGAAAAAGTTGATTAAGAGCTAATAAATCACATTCAAAAGAATTACCAGACTGATTTTTAAGTTTTTGTACATCACTTTCATATACCATGTATTGTTTATTAAGTAATTGTAACTGTGGTGAAATATGATTATTGCTAAATAAAATTTTAATTTTGTTTAACAAATTTGATGCATTATTTAGAACTAAAGCAAATTTAATACTTTTTGTTTTTTGATCAATTAATTTACTTTGTTCTTCAAGTAATCTACTTTGAAACTGATCATTATCATTATCTTGTAATTTTTTACTGTAATTTCTATCAATTACTAACGTTTTATATGGTGAATATTTAAATTTTTCATCAATACCTTTTGCTATACTAGCATATTCTCTTCTTTTACATTCCCAATTAGTAAATTTTTTATTTAACTTACTTTGTACTTGCATTTTTCTCCTGGATTCAAATTCATTCATTGCAATCTTGTGAAATTCATTAAACATATTTATAGACTGGTCATTTTCTTCTTTATGAGGTTCAGTGAGATCCTTGTTTTCTTTGACATTGGAATGGTTTTCAATAACATGATTGAATTTTGGAGTGTAATATTCATTAACACTTCTAAGTTTTTTATTAATTCTCATCAAATTCTTATCAAATATAGTAAAATTATTGTTATTTACATGATTTTCAACTGGATAATTTTCTTGATGTATAATTGTAGATCTAGTATCATATTCCATTGTAATTTATCTTTATTATTATAGCTAATCACCTAAAATAAAAGATAATTAAATATATAATTATATCCTAATTTCAAACAAATATTCCTACTTACAATATAAATGGAAACATACAATCCAAACTACAAATCTGAAAATTCGTGTAGCAGTATGGTAACAAAATGCAATTTAAAACATTTATAAATACTTCGACAGTTAGTTAATAATCAATATCCATACTTTTTCCTATATGACTAATTCCAACGTTTAACGGCTGTCAACAACCGATACACTATCACAATATCAAGATAACAGTTCTTTACAGTATAATCACAGAATTCTGTGGTATAATCTCGATAATAATCTTAGATCATACGCTAGTTTATGATCCAAGATAAAAATCCATGTAATGTAAGTGTATAAAGCGGCCCTCACACAATCAATATGAGAGTTAAATCCTCAAACGGTCAGTAAAAATTAGTGTCAATTCGCAATATTGATCTGTGTTTTGATTTTGTTTGTGTGAATGTACTCATATTTCGGCTTACGCACCCGTGGTTGCGAAAATGTACTGAAGAATTGTCATTATCCACTACACACAGTCAAAATCTTTATCAGTAAATAAATATTGACAACTCGAAATCCAATTTTTTCATCAGCAGGCCCGTATTTAAGGGGGAAGGGCACGGGTAGGTACATGCCCGTGGACGTCAAGTCTCAGGGGCGGGAAAATATTTTAGCAAAATTAATTTTAAAAATGATGTACCTAATGAAAAAAAAAAATAAAACAATAAAAAACATAAAATAGTATGTTTTATTACCCACATAACACAAATACAACTAATGGATGTATAATAGATATGATTTATAGATATCCATAACATCCTTTAGATATGACTGTAAATCTATTAGATATCTACTAAATATCCAATTGGCCGCTTTTTTATTAGTTGATGGATATCCATAAGAAATCAGAAATTAATGAATTAAAACATCCATTAGATATAAAATAATATCCATTAGATATAAAATAATATCCATTAGATATAAATTAATATCCATTAGATATAAAATATTATCCATTAGATATAAAATATTATCCATTAGATATAAAATTATATCCATTAGATATAATATATTATACATTAGATATTCATTAAAATAGAATACAAATTGGAAAAAATGTTTAATAGACAAAATCTTTATTTAATAATAAACAACTACTTAAATATATACAACTTAAAATGTTGAATAATCATTCACTTATGGGCAATGAAATTTGTTCAGTGGAATCTGCACATCTTTTCTCACTAATTTTAATAGAATTAATTTATTATTTTACATTTAACAAATATTTAAGTATTTGTAACTGTAGTAAAAACTAAAAACTAATCAATTAAATTATTCATTAATTCTACTAATTACAAAATATCAATGCCTAATGGTCATCCATAAAAATCTACTGTGACTTATCTACCAGTTACTTTCTATGGATATCTAATATATATCTAATGGATAAGTTGTCTTAAATAGGTATGTTATAATTTATTTAATTGGTTAATTAAAAAAAGTATTAAACGATTTTCATTTATAAGTTATATTTTAATATTAAAGAATCTTGATTATGGACGAAATAATAAGTGTTATATTATTATTATTTATTTTTGGGGAGGGGTATAAATTATATGCCTGGAGGCGCCAAATTTTTAAATACAGACCTGGTCATCAGTAGTGTTTTTTCATACTGACAGTACACCAGTTTTCGCATTACATGCAGGGACGGCGCAAGGGGTGGGCAATAGGGGCAGTTGCCCAGGGCCCCGCACCTTAAATTATAATTAAGGCCCCACAGTTCTGATTTAACTGAACTGAAAATATTTTATTAATATAAATTATAAGACCCAACATTTATTTTGCCCAGGGTCTCGCAAACTCTAGCACCGTCACTGATTACACGATCTATAATACTGTCAGTTATATTGATCGTGTGAGGGACGCTTAGTACATCGATATCAAAATGTCTATTTATTGACCGAAAACATCATTTTTTTTTTGCCCCCATGCCTAATTTGTTTATTCGCTCGGGGCACCAATGACTACTGCCGGCACTGATCACAAGAAGTTGTTTATTTATTTATTTTTAGTCAGTGTCTTTTTAATGATTTTCACTCTTAATTTAGAAATTCCAATAAGAAAAAGATCTAATCTTTGTAATGAAGTTGAAAAAAAGCGTTTATCCATAGTTCAAAGTGTAGTAATGTGGATTAATAAAGATAATTTTTCTTTTCATTACCATCCTAATGTTAATTACAGGAATAATAATTCGGTATGTTAGTGTTTAATGTCTAATATGTAATGTATTATTGGATTTTTCTTCGGCAATTAAAATGGAAGGAAGAATTTACTATTTCCATCGGATCTTCATATTAATTTGAAACGCTAACAATTTCTAGTATTTTCCAAGAGTTTGTTTTTCAATAATAATAAAGCATAAGGTCGAACTTTCAAAATAACAGGTGTCGATCTTCGTACTTAGGGTTGCCAACTTTGGATTTGGAAAATACCGGCCCAAGTGTACAAAAAAAAAAAGGTCATTATTTTCAGTGAATTTTTAATATTAATATAATAAATTGATGAATAATATAATTAATTACATACGTTAAAATAAAAAATTTAATAATATTTATTTATTTATTTATTAAGAATTTACGGGCTGAGCCCTTTATAATTAAAATATGTATGTGCAGAAAAGATATTAAAATTATTATATGATGATAGTAAATAAAAACAATAGAAATACCTACACTATAAGTGTGTGTAAAATTAAAAAACAAGAAAGTTAAAGGTGGGGTCCGTATTGGCTTGCGACATCAAACGTCTTAAAGGTTCATTTTACATGTAATTGGTGAACTTAAGGGTATATGAAACATAGCATTGGAACGGGTGGAACGCAGTGGAACTTTAAACGCAACTAGGGCAAGTAATGAAGGAGAATCAATAACACCAGTCAGTAGATCTTTTAAAAATTTATTACCAAAGTAACATCGGCGCTCGGCTAAAGTTACTAAACCAAGATTAGTGGCAACAGGCGTGTAGTCATGAGGTGGACAATCAATGTCCATTAAATAGCTAGCAAATCGGAAAAACCTACGCTGAACCCTTTCTAACTGACAAGCATTTACAGTTGTATGTGGGTCCCAAATTACGGCACCATACTCATAGAGAGCCTTAAGAGATGATTTAAGGCCAAAGTCTTTAGCCAACCTCATAACAAAGCCCAATGTTCTTAAAGCAGAACAGCAAATCATTTCAGTGTGAAGGCTCGGGTCAAGATTGCTAGTAAATTTAAAGCCAAGATACATAATAAAATCTTTACAACGTGAAATTACAGTGTCACGCAGGTGGTAAGGGAAAACTAGAGAAACACGAGATCTGGTGAAAATCATGACCTTGCATTTGGATATGTTTAGAGATAGATTAAGTTTGTCGAATAACTCCACGAATCGATTTATATCACTTTGCAGTTTTAAGCAGTCGTCATTCGAATCAATTTGCATAAAGAGTTTGACATCATCAGCAAAACACAAAAAACGACAGTGATGAAGAGCGCTACCTATGATGTTAATAAAGATATTGAAAATATTAATATTACATTAAGTTAAACTTCAATAATAAACTTATAAATTAAAGTATTATAAATAAACTATTATAAACTTTTAAATTTATATTTAGTAGCATTTTCGCGGCGTTTAATAAATGTTTTTAATTTTGTGTTTCATCAAAGAACTCCCCATACAATTGTATGTTATGTTATTTCTTATAACTAGTTTGGCTTTAACCGTATCACTTCTAATCGATTGCCTTCGACAAGGTCTGGTACACAGGACTTCTGTTTAAATTAAAAGAATTTCTCCCCCCACCATACTACCTTTTCTTTAAATCATATCTAAAAAACAGTAATTTTATAACTAAAGTAGGCTCCGAGTTTTCAGATCTAACGCCCATTATGGCTAGTGTACTACAAGAGGCTATCTCATTTCCCATTCTGTATAATATCTATACCGCAGACCAATCGGTATCTCCACTCCAGTAACCGAATTCGCCGACGACAAAGTAATTTATTCGTTTAATGCCAACCCTCTTGTCGTTAGCAAAGCTGTAACTGGAAAAAAATTTCGGGGAGGTCTAACATTATAATTTAATACAATTTATAGTTAATAAACTATATTCACCGCAAAAATGTTTCTACTTTTGAAAATTTCGGGGGGGGGGGGTCAGGGTAGGGTCCGGACCCCTGGACCCCCCCAGTTACGGCCTTGGTCGTTAGTACTCAATTGCAAAATCACCTTAATCAAATGGAAGAATGGTATTCCGAATGGAAAGTTAAAATAAATAATGAAAAATCTACACATATAACTTTTACTCTTAAGAAAGGTATTATCCCCCCTCTTTATCTATCTAATAAAATTATTCCAGCTGTTACTAGTGTCAAGTATCTATGATTGATCCTCGATAAACGCTTAAATTGGGCTGAACATATCAAACAAAAACGCCTCCTTTTAAACTTAAGAAGAAAGTCTTTATATCCTCTTTTAGGAAAACAGTACAAGATTAATTTAAAAAATAAATTATTAATTTACAAAATCCTCCTAAAACCAATTTGGACCTATGGTATTTAATTATGGGGAGCGGCAAAAAAATCAAACATTAACAAAATTCAGACTTTTCAATCCATATCACTCCGAATAATAACTAATGCGGCCTTTTACGTGATTAATCATACACTACATTCTGATCTTAATATTCAGACTGTCGTCGAAACGGCCACGTTCTTTTACAAGCGTTTCCGCTTTCGCCTCGTTAATTATCCGAATCAACTTATCCTTTCTCTCAACTCAATAAATATTCCTAGAAGCCCACCGAGAAGGTTAAAGTGGCGATGGTGTCGTGACTTGTCTCTGTAAAAAATCAGTTAAAAAAAAAAAAAACATATATAGTCTAACAAATCCCTATTTGTGTCTAAGTGTACTGCTGGGTAGCTTCTCTTTTCATACCCTCATGTCTTATAAAATATCTAATCGCTCATATGCGTATTGTAAATTATTATTACAGGTTGAACATATTCTAATAAATGCTAAAAAAAAAATATTTTTAATTATCAAATATAATTGATAATTTCAAAATTGTAATCAAAAGTTATTTATTGATATAAGTCCATTTATATATTACATTGTGCAGACTCCAAGCTAAACCAAGCACATCAGTTTGTGTATATATATATATATTAGGAGGGGCAGTGCTCTTTCTGATATTTAATGTACCTTATTCAGTGGCATTACATAACTTTTGTATGGGGGGGGGGGATTAGTTGCAAAAAATTATTATGGAAGGAAAATTCCTAAACTTAAGTACCTGCATATTTAAATAATAAATAATAAAAGATATATATATATATATATATATATATATTGAATGTGTCAAAATAATAATTTACAATAAGTCCTTGCAATATTTTTTTGTTTCCTTATAATTTCCTTACATTAAGAACACTATTTTATACAATTTTAAAATTACCTATGGAGGGATCTGACCCCCACATCACCCTTGTATACGCTCCTGCCCGTGTTTTAAAATAAGTACAAAACACCTGGTTATAAGTATTACCAAAGATTATATATAAATTTTCATGTAAAGCCCATGTATATGTATATTTTAACTTTAATAATTATATGGACAACCTTACTAAGTAATATAAGGCTAGTCGCTGACATGCAATTTTCAATTGCGCAACAGTTTAATCGCATTAGTGAATTTTACTGCGTTAAATGATGATGAGCTCACGTGCAACTGATCAGTTTGACCAACTAATTAGTTTGTGTTTTGTCACAAATCATTCGATTGCGCGATTACATCCTATGTATCATAATGTGACACGAGAGTACAGTTACATTTGTGAGTGCGGTATGATGAAACTGTTGCGCAACTATCGTACAACTGAAAATTGCATGTCAGCGACTAGCCTAAATTCACCAAAATGGTAATATCTACTTACTTAGTATTAAATTAATTTTAAATAAATACAATATGTGCATAAAAATATTAGCTAATCAATTTTTATATTATATATTGTCTCAAACAGTAATCCTTAGAATAATACATTTTTATTTATTATTTATATTGTTTTTATAAATGTTGAAATTTTTTCAATAGACCGCCAAATCTTTAAAACCATTGTGTTGGGGAAAACGCTATTTTTATCTATACTTCTAACCATGGTATAACTATGGTAGAATAGTATAAAACATAGTATAGTATACAACACGGCTTATATATATGTATATCTTAAACCGTGGTATACATAAAGTACATAATATCATATGATAGAATTCATTCATGTTCAATATATAGATATAAAAAGACAAAAGAATATTAATTTATATATATAATATTTATAAGTGATATTACTGACTATAACCACAATATTTACTGGACCATCGTGATTAGCTACACCGAACAGTGATCATTCAACATTACGTTTCTATAATACGTTTAGATGCCAGTAGTGTTAACACTGTCACCGTATAGTAATTCTTTTAATTTTTCTCGCGATAATTGAACAATTATTTGTAGTTTTAACACTTATTTGAATATTATCTTAAAAATCATTTTGCGATAAAAAAAAACGAACTGAGAACTTATATTTTTAATTCTTATAGTAACTCGTTTTGTTTCTCAAATTGTCCATAAAATTTGAATAACATCAGTGTGATGTAGTTTTGACACTTAGACTTGTTTTATATGAAAATGTGTGCTAACGAAAACGAAACTGTAGATATACGTCATTATACAAACTGGAGATCTAATTTGGTAATTACTTTTTATAGTTTATGTTATATTAATATATATTGAATTTATAGTTTCTGATTAACAGTATTAATATTATGTCTAACAATTTATTATGAATAATATTTATAAAGAGTCTTGTCTGATTAAAAAAATTTGTTTATTCATATATAATATATACGATAATATTATTATCTTGTAGATCTTTTAAAACTTGAGAATATATTGTTTCAAATATAATTGATCATGCTTGAAAATTCATATTTATGACATAAAATACACAATGTTATTAACTGGTTCAAAAAAATTATTTATGCACAATATCTTGTCTAACAAAATTAATTTCTGTTTACTATTGGCACAAGGAATTCTTTTGGTACCAGCTTACCAGAACTCCAGGCTAAAATATGCTAAATTCTGTTCTCTTTTTATTATTATTATATATATATATATATATATATATATGTATATCTGTGTGTGTGTACCTGAATAATACTTAATAGTTGAGTTAGACCTAGATCAATAGATAATTTATTGTTTGATATATATTGTATATGTATAAAATAATTTAAAAGAATAAATAATCAAATCCGTTTATTTAGGTTGTTCTAATAAGCTTATTATATAAGAATAATATTAATTAAAACCGTGTAAGACTGATTTTCATTATAAAGGTAATACAAAGAGTAATTAACAGTTATAAATGTATAAAAAATATATTCTTTGATATGTTTTCTTGCTAAAATATTATTTTATATTATGTTACATAATTCGTCAATCTTATAAATAAAGATTTAAACTAAGACTTTTACCTGAAAAATAAATTATATATAATTGGTTACAGTCCGATAGCTTTTAAATAATTTTCAATTAATAACTACTCCAAAGATCATGTCTGGAGTAAAATCATGTTGTATTATACTGTTTTATGTTTTATGCTTGTGTTTAAATTTCTGTCTCATTTACTATGCTCTATTATTATTATAATAATACATTTCCCACAATATTTATTTCTATATAAAGCATTGTAATAATGCTTATTATACTTATTAAATATGAAAATGGTCTTGATAGTAAAGGATTTATAGCATTTATGTTTAAATTTCTTCTAAATTATAGTATTATTTATGTGCATATCAAATTTAAAGAGAGAATATTATTCTTGAAATTATATTATATTTAGATTATATTTATAGATTTTTAGATTTTAACTTTTTCAACTATAAAAATAAAAAAATTATTTAAAAAATATGGACTACTTACTTTTTTGTAAAGTTTAGTTATTTAAGCATTTATTTAAAAACTTACAAATTCATTTTACAGATAATATTTTGTCTTTTTTATTTAAATAAAATTTGTCTATATTAACATGTTATCATTTTAACCAGAATGTATACTTGATTAAATAATAAACCTTAAAAGTTAATAAATCATTTTAATTATTACAGATTGAATTAGAAGAACGTAATCGTATGGAAAGACCTAGTCGGGTTTTCAGTAGCCTCCATCATACCATGCCTCCAGTGTTAACAGGTAAGTCTATTTATTAATTTTGAGATTTATAAATTTTTTTTCTCCTTATTTCAAAATTCAAGCAGGAGTCCCCTAGTGATATATCTCCCAACCTTTACAACATATTTACTGTAGACATATCAAACGCTTATAATATTCTAATTGCCACATATACAGATTACAGCAACATTAAGTGAATATAGTGATAACACTGAAGCATCCTTTAATCTCCAAGTATATCTTGTTAAAATAGATATATGGGCATCCAATAATCCAAAAATAAATCCTGATAAGTCCTTTCATGTTCCTATCACTTTCAGAAAAGAAATCTCACCTATCCTTTACTTTGGGGAAGTAGAAATTCTAATTGAAACTCAAATGAAGTATTTAGGCCTGATTTTAGATAAGCATCTCACTTGGAGCCCACTTTTAAAACCAACAAGAAAAAAACTCAATTGTAGACTACACCTCCTCCATCCTATTCTCAAATTGAATTTTTCCCTCAACAATAAAATAATTATTTATAAGTTTATGATAAAACTCATTTTGGCCTTGAGAATACAGATATGGGGTTGTGTCAAAGCATTCCAAACATAAACAATTGAGGCATTTCAATCAATTACCCTCCGTTTATTAACCCCTGCAGTCTTGGTATGTTTCTAACAACCCATTCCTTTAATTACTTTAACATTGAAACCGTTTACAAAGTTGCATCCAATCATTACAAAAAATTCCTCTCAAAACTAGCCACTTATATCAACCTACTTATAGCCATTCAAGGTAGAACAAACTTGCCAGAAAATTCCCCCCATCGTTTAAAAAGACTATGGTGCAAGGATTTATTAAATCTCTAATCAAAATGCCACCTGAAGGTACTGTTACTATACATCCTACCTCCTCATATTATTTCACTGTCATGTAATTATTTTATTTTTATCCAATTTGCTTATTGTATATATTCTAAAAAATGTAAATTTTATATTTTAATATTAATAAAATAAAAAAAAAAGATTATATTTTTTGTACTCTTTGTTTTAGACTCGAATAATATGGAACCAAATGAACAATCTCGTAGATCAAGAGATTATTCTTCTTATTTTGAAACTCATAACAATTCATCACGTTTTGGAAGTAGTAAGTCATTTGCAATATATTTAATTATTTATTTATAGTTATAATTTTTTAATAATTGTAATGGTTTTTAATAGTTTGACTTAATTACTTTAATAGTTAAAATACAAATATATTTTTATTTTTATTTTTTCACATTAGAATTAGAAGAATTAGTACATGTATAATTGGAATGTGTATTATTATGATAAATATTCAACGAAATATATAATCATTAAATATAAAAACTAAAAATAGCTCAATCATATTTATTTTTATCTGGCTTACATGAAAAACTTATACAATTAAATTATTTTTATAACTGAATTAGGTAACTATTTTTTGTTTTATCAACTTAAAAATTAAATGAATTATTTTTAAACTTATAACTAAGCATTCTAAAGTTAACTAAACAAATTAATCAAGATAATTAATTTTACCACAATGTTTTTATTTTTGTCTATATATAATTTTGGGTGCTAGTCACATATGCGGACTACAAATGCATACGATCTACCATCATAAATGTAATTTTAGAAAAAAATTTAGATAAACTGTATTATAAATACTTAGATAAAATAAAATTGGTCAGATAAAATGTTTTGATATATGTCATATCTTGTATTTTCCATCTATGTTGTGTTTTGTTATTAAAAGATACCTACCTACAATTATTACTGTTTGACATTATAACAAATTGAATAAGTTTGTTAGTTACGTATTGGTCGTCGATTATGTTGTACTGCGTTCATATTTGTGTCCGTTTTGTATAATTTCGTGTGCAGTGTGCATTATGCAATTAAAAGCTCTTTATTTGACTGTCACTAAGATTGAAGAGAATGCCACTGTATTTTTAAGAGAGCATGGTTTATTAAACACTGTCGAAAGAACATTGCCATGTCATAAGCTTAGTTCTGAAATGGTTAATGCTAGAAAACGAGATAGAGTAGGTGATTTTCGTCCTGTTTTTCGGTGCAAAAAAAAAAGGATGTCAGACCACACATAGTATACAACAGGGAAACAAATTTTTTCATTACGAGGGCTTGAACAATAGGTCTAATAGTAATCTCAAACTTACCGACATTTTAGAATTAGTTTATTTTTTCGTATCAGATATTTCTTTGACAACAACGGCAACTTTAACAGGAAACTTTGACAGTTTATTTATCTATTATTGACATTTTATCGTAAATTTATTATTATTTTTTATGTAAACATTATTATTATTACATTATATTTTTCAAATTGGAGGTAAAAACATGGTGTATTACAATATAGGTATTATGCGATCATTGCGATCTACGTTTTACAAGGTAGACCGCACACGTGAGAAGAAATATGTTGGTAGTCTGCATATGAGAGTAGCATCCAATTTTGACCAAAGGGAATCCAATTATCACAAATGTGAGATTTTTGATGAAAAATGTTTTTTTTTGTTACTCTGATTTGATTATGGTCATTTTATGAATCCTCCAATAGTTTTTCTTATTATTTCGAAAAAATTATGAAAAAAAATTGCAAAATTTATGTTGTTCTGGTTCCAACTAAATACAATTTTTTTTCATTATTAACTCAAAAAATTAAAATGTTCATTGTATGTTTTGAATCATTATCAAAATATGGTTTGATTTTCTAAACAAATTCTAAATATCATACTTCAAAATTTCATGTTTTTTTAGCATTTTTTTAGTGAAATAATTTATGAGTGAAATATGAATATTAAAAATATAATATTAATAATGAATATTTGCAAAATTCTTGTATTTAAAAATTAAAAAAAAAATTAAATTTTGTATTAAGGCTTTGAAATTAAATATAATATTTTACATACAATTTTCTTTGTACCAAAAAAAAATTGCGAAATTGGATATTAAATAATAATAGTTTTTTTTTATATATAAAATACTTATATAGACGTTTTTAAGACATTTTTTCAAAACATTTTTTATAAAATTTTTGCTGGTTTTAGGTACTTGTCCTTATTTTATATTATCCTTCTATTTTTCTTTTTCTTTGATATATGAATTGAATGACCAAGTTTTATATTAAATGCATTCATAATAAATGTCTACATTTATTTTTAAATTTTTATGTGAAAAATATATATATATTTAATTTTTTGTCTGAAAAAATTTAGCAATATAAAAACTAGTTTTTATATAACATCATATTTATTAATATATATTTTAAGTATTTAAATTTGATATTTTTTTATTGATATTTATTTATGATTTATAGGTGCATCAAATGGTGATAATGTAAGAAATCGTTCACCATTTGTTAGATTTACTATTACTGACCCAGAAACGAGACAAATTACGGTTGCTGGACAGTATCCATTGAATAGTACACCGCCTGATAATTTTACAAGCACTGTTACAACTACCAGTAAGTATTAACATTTTAATAATACTTTGTACTTTATATTTTTTGTTTTATTAACTTTAAACTTGTTTTAATGTGTAAATTCATATTTTTAAGCCTATCAGGAAAATTTAATATCAGAAATGATTTTAATTTATTTGATTAAATGTCACTATATTTTTTGAATACCATAAATATTATAGAAACATATGTTTAGACATTTCTATTATTATTTAACATTCTAGTTGTATTTTTTTCTAGTTTAAGTTTAAATTTAAATATTAATGTATGCAATGTTGTATTAATGATTAATAAAAACAACTATATTCTAAAATTTGAATTTTCTATGAAGATATTAATGGTATATGCAATTTATAAGCCATAAACAATATATTTTAATCTTTGGTTTAAATCAATATTCTATTAACATTATATGATTTATAATAATTAAAAATAGTATGGTAAAAATGTCTCCTAGATATTTAAACTCCACATTAAATTTTTGTTTAATTTTTCTCATTCTCTTATTTACATATCTATAACATTTTTAAATAGAAAATAATATTTTATTTATACTAATTTCTTAAATATTATTATTTATTGTTTATTTCAGATATATATAAATATTACCATTAAAACAAAATGTATAATTATTTTATTTAATTTTATAGATGCTGAAATAGCTGATGTACCAATTAATGAGGATAGTGATGATGAACCTGTGATCCTTGAACGAAGACATTATTTTGATAATAGACGTTTAGTGGATCATTTTAGTTCAATGTCACATAATCCTCAACAATCTAGAAATATTAGATCTGGAAGAAGAATATTTTCAGAACATCCTTATTTTATAAGAAATAATTTAGATAATTATCCAATTTATCACTCAAATAGGATTAATAATCGGCGTGTTCGTTTTTCTTCATCAAATCAAATTTATAGTGATGTAAGTTGTTTAAATTGTATATTAATAATTAAATTCAATTATATTAAACTATTTAAATGTAGGGTTACATTTAATATTTTAGAACACCACAGAATCTGTATAGTTAAAAAAATTAATAAAACTTATGGAGTGCAGAATCATCATCAAGGGAGGGAGGCAACAGGACCATTTTTCCACAGGGCATAGTATAGGAAAACTTAAAGGGGGCCTTAAAGTCCATATTAATTAAAAATGCTCTTTGTTTCCAATTAGAGATTATTGATATTAATATTATATATTATTTCTAAACTATTTTTTTTTATGAAATATTAATAAATTAAATTTAATAATATTTACTCATACGTATATTTTAGCTCTATTATACAGACTAAATTTTCAGTTATCATTCTATATTTCTATTAGTTATAACTGCTATTTACTATGATTATTACAAAATGTTGTCGAAATTTACGTAGAAATTTGTTATTGTAAGTATCAACACAACATCATCCAAGTTCTTATTTTATATTACCGTTTATGAATTATCTAGGAATAAAATACATTTTTATTAAATGTGGTAACTAGTAATATGTTGTTAAGATGTTATTAAAAATGTATTTTATTGTATCAATGCATTTAAATGATCATGATTGTTTAAAGTTTGGAGAACGATATTCACCAACATTTTACAAACTTGATGTGTGTATATTTTTGTAATGATTGAATGGCCCTCGAATTAATTTGCTCTAGGCCCTTAATATTCTTAGGATGGCTCTAATGATATTTATCTATATTTCATAAACCAATATTCAGGTTCATTATTAATATACATGTGTGTGTAAGTATATATATGTGTGTGTGTATATGTATATGTATATATTTTATTTTAATTTATTTATTTTAGGTTAATGATAGACCCCAAACTCCAGAACAAGAACTTCCTGATGTTCTTGAACAAGATATGGAGCTAGAAAACTCATACGAAGCAGAGTAGTAAGTTAATAAAATATTGAATTTGGTAAAAATATATTTACAACATTTGGTTTGTCTATGTGTAGTCATGACCAAGAAAGTATGTCTAGTGTATCAACTCGAAATGATGTAGATTCTGGCGATGATGATAGGTCTGTAAATTTCTCCATTTCTGGAACTCCTGTCTTAAATGTAGATGAGGAAAATTTGGATACTATTGATATTAATAATGAAACTCCAAGAACAAGAGTTGTACCATTCATAATGTCACCTATACCTTTAAGCCCACAAACTGATTCTCCAACAAATACACCTGCCTCAAATCAGAATAACAATGCATCTACACCATTTGAATTTGTTGATCATGATGATGAAAATCATAATATAATGTTCAGAGATCCTGAGTAAGTAATTTAAATTTATGAATGTTGACTTTATTACAATAAAATTTCATTCCTTATAAAATATTCTTTTTAATTTTAGAAAATGTGTAAATGTGTCAATATACTTACACTAAATGCTTAAATCAAAAATAAAATGTTATCATTATATTCTTACTATTCCTAGAAAGAAATAATTGTATATAATGTCAAATATTTTGATTTTAAGTAGTGTAAATTATTTTATAGTAAATTTTTATTTGTTATTAAAAAATGTAAGGTTTATTGATAACTAATAAATTTAGTCACCTATTCAAATCTTCATAAACTGGACATCCATTTTATTAACTTTATTCATAACTTGTAATGAAAAAACAATTTATCAGATAGACATTTTATGAAATTAAAATATTTTATGTATATATAAAAAAAAGTACATAATATAATAATTTTCAATTGTATAATTAATTTAATTTCTTAATATATATCATTGTAAAAATAAATTATTATTAAAACAATCTAAAAATGTCTTTAGTATTAATGAGTAGTGTAGTGTTTGTAATTTAAATTATTTAAGTTTTATAAAAAAAAATGTTTATATACATTTATAAATCTTACAGGAATAGAGTTACAGAAGATACTGCAACTGTACTTGTTGAAGATCATCCAGAAACATATGTAGATCTTAACGATCAGTTGATTCGTTTATTTGAGTGTCCAGTATGTTTTGAACATATTGTCCCTCCTATTTTTCAATGTTTACTTGGACATTTGATTTGTAGTAAATGTGTACTTATGTGTGAAAATTGTCCAACTTGTAGAAATGCTTTCAATTCAAAACGTAATCTGTACATGGAAAAAGTGAATTAATAATTTTTATTATAAATAGAGTTATATTTATCAATAACCAAGTTATTTTTTTAAGGTTGGTTACTTAGTAAAATTTCCATGTAAAAATGCTTTGACCGGGTGTAAGCAACAAATGTTTTTAAGTCAAAAAAAAGTGCATGAACAAGAATGTTGTTACAGACACTATCAATGCTTTTTCACAAATTGTGCTTGGAAAGGATATTATCCTGAGTTGCATGTACATATGAGTGATAATCACCATAATTACATACTGAATGGTACAGATCAGGTGCAGTATAATATATAACTATTGGATTGATTCGACAAAATGTTAGTATTAATTATAATATTCTCTTTTAGGCTCTTGATATCATGATTCTTCATATAAATCAAACTTACAAATGGTTTTTATTAGCTCATAGTGAATATTTTGCAGTTATTGCTCAAGTATCTAATCGAACCAAAGGTGTTAAGATGTAAGATATTTTTTAGTATATTAATTTTTTCACGCTCTAGTTAATATTATTATTAAATAATTCACTAGAATACTTTTAACTAAATATATTTTATTATGTTTTGCTATTTAAGTCAGGTCAACTATATTGGACCAGCAATCAAGGCAAAGCAATTTAAATTTACTATTGTACTTTCTCAACGTAATGATCATAATGAGTCATTACAAAAGTTAACATATGAGAGGACAACTCTCCCGTACACAGAAAATAATGATATGTCCAACAACATTGGTCTAAAAAAAGATATTTTTTCTTTTCCTGGGGAAGTAATCGAACCATATTTTAAATTCAGGCGTCGTCGATTACCAATTGTTCTTAAAGTTAATCCTGTATCTATTTAATTTTTGATGAATATTAATGTACAAAAGTATATTATATACAAATGTAATGTTAATTTATAATTATGTAGTAAAATTTTTGTCATATTTATTATGTTTTGTGTATATTACAATATGTATATTATGTTATATTTACATGTATTAATTCAATTAATATAATACCATTAGTGTAATATATATTATGATACAGTGTGTACAATTTTCTTTTAAGTTACCAATGTGTGTAAGCCAATAATAATTGGCTATTATTGCTAGTTAAAATTGGATAAGCCAATTCAAGATGAGCTTAATATAAATTAAAGTCCATAAATATCCATTTATCATATACTATCTACAATTCTTAACTAAAGAATATATTAACATTAAAATAATTCCAAGAGTAATTGTATTCTAATTTGAGTAAATTAGAAATGTGTTCAATTTTTTTTTAATATAAAGTAAGCCTAGAGTAAAGTGAAATATCAGGTTTACATCAATAAATGTATGTAAAACAAATAAATAAACTTTAAGTAGAAAAAAACTTCAAATGAAAATACAGATGTAAATATCTATCAGAAAATTACTAATTTTAGAGGGGGGGGGGGGGAGAAATTAATTTAAAAAATAAATTAAGATTTTTTTTTATACATTTTATACTTGCATTTATTTATACTTTATTCTTTTTCCTCAAATATAAGATAACAATAAGATATAATAATCCAATTAATATTAAAGAGTTTTCTTCTATATATAATATGTATGTTATATTAAAGTAATCTATGTTTACTAAATTTACAGAGAAGGCTTTGGAAAACTAATTTAAAATTCTAGGGGGAAAAGTGCCCCTTGCTCCCCTCTCCTGGGGACGCCCATAAAAGGATCAAAGATAAAACTCTATACTACTTAAATTTGTCCAGTTATCATGTATGATGTGAAACATGGTCAACAAGATAGGGTGATGAAAGAACACAGTTGATTTGCAAGAGAAAGATTCTAAGAACTAATCTTCTTTCTTCAGCTTAACGGTTCTTGAAGGGCCTGAGCTGCCACAAGTAAGTCTCTCCACCTTTCTCTGTTGAGTGCTAATTCAACAGACGCATTCGCATCCATCAATTGAATGTCCCTCTTCACAGCATCCTTCCATCTCGTTCGCGGTCTACCCAGTGGTCGTTTTTTCTGTATCGTTGCGGTTATGACCTTTTTTAGTATATCATCTTCAGCTCTCCAAATATGTCCAAACCATTCCATTCTCTTAGTTCTTATAAACGTTAATATTGTTGGTTTTCCATACAATTGGTACAAATTTTCGTTTTTCCGCCTTTCGAATGTTCCTAGATCGAGATTGTACACCGGGCCAAAAATTTTTCTCAGAACCTTTCTTTCAAATATTGCCAGTTTTTTGTTATCACCTTTCATCGTAGAACAAGTCTCACACGCGTAAGTAACTATTGGTCTCAGATAACTGATATAGATTAGTGTTTTCGACCTTCTCGACAACAATTTAGATTTCAATAACTTTTGGATGCTATGGTAGCATCGGTTTCCACTTGCTAACCGTTCAACTATTTCTTGATGTATGTCATTTTTATTGTTTATGTTCACACCCATATAATTAAAACTTTCTACACTTTCAAATGTGAAATTATCTACTTGTAGATTAGGCTGATCTCCTCTTCTCCTGGAAAGTACCATAAATTTTGTTTTTTCTTCGTTAATACAAAGTCCCATTCTTTTACTGGCCGTCACAAGGTTAGACATTGTCTTGGGTGATGTCTTGTGTTTCTTAAAATTACAATATCATCTGCGTACGCCAATATTATTTCTTTATTTACCACCTCAACTTGATGACTATGTTTTATTTCTCGAATCACCTTTTCGAGACCTAAATTGAATAGAGTTGGGGATAAAGCATCTCTTTGCCGTAGGCCCGATTTTACTTCAAAGGCTGATGATAGTTCTCCCAGAAATTTCACTTTGCATTCTGTTTTGTTATTGCACAACTTTACCATATTAACATATTTTTTCGGTATATCGAAGTAGATCAATGTGTTCCATAACTCTTCCCTATTTATACTATCGTACGCCTGTTCATAGTTGACGAATATTATGTATAGGTCTTTGTCGAATTCATAATGTTTCTCCATTACTTGTCTCAAGATAAATATTTGATCAGTAGTTGACCTCCCTTTTCTAAATCCACATTGGTACCGTCCTAAAATCTCCTCAGCTTATGGAGCTATCTGTTCTAAGAGAATTATTGATAATACCTTATAGCATGTATCTAATAAAGAAATTCCTCTATAGTTTTTTGTGTCCAGTACGTCTCCTTTTTTAAACACAATTCCACTCTTCAGGAAGTATTTCTTTTTCCCAAATAAAATTGATCATTTTCCATATTTCGTTTTTCAGAGTTTCCCCACTGTTTTTTAATAATTCTGCTACTTCATTGCTTTCTCTTGGGGCCTTATTATTCTTAAGTTTATTTATACTCCAGTTGATTTCGAGTCTTGAAGGATTACTAATACATGGCTCTGCCGTGCTATATTGTATGTAAGTCGCATTAGATGGTCTGGAAGCTGTTTTATTAAGCAACACTTTATAGTAGTTTTTAAACTCTTCTGCTATATCCTTTTCATTTGTTAGTAAGTCTCCTATCTGATTTCTTATCATCCTAATTTGTTGTTTATATCCCTGTTTGATATCTTTACTATTGCTAAAGAATTTCTTGGAGTTGAATCTGTTATTTTTCATTTCTTCAATTTTTCTCTTTTCTTTTTGTCTTTTTTCTTTCCTGAGTGTTTTGTTAGTTTCTATTTTGCTCATTTTGTATAGTTTTAAATTTTCATCTGTTGGGTTTCTTAACGTTATTTCTCTCAATTTATTTCTTCTATCAAAAAATGTGGACGTCAACGAACTGAATCTCAAGATACAACATTTGTTACTAGGAGACTTGGTGTCATACAAATCTATAGATACAGTTTGCGATGTTACTGAAGCTGTAAATTATCCAACAGAGTTTTTAAACTCATTGGATTTACCAAGCATACCACCGCATAATTTACAATTGAAGGTTTGATCTCCGGTTATTTTGCTTCGTAATTTTACTCACTACGGTTGTACAACGGCACGCAATAAGTCGTCAAAAAGTTAATGAAAAATGTTATCGAAGCCATCATTTTAAATGGCAAATTCTGAGGTGAAAATATATTATTACCACGAATCCCTATTATACCCACAGATGTGCCAATACAATTTAAACGCCTTCAATTTCCAATTAGATTAGCATTTGCAATGACTATCAATAAGTCTCAAGGCCAAACGATGTCTATCTGTGGCTTAGATTTGAGCACATCATATTTTTCACACGGACAATTATACGTGGCGTGCTCTCGAACCATCTAGTTTGTGTTAGCGAAAGATGGGATAATAAAAAATATTGTACACTATATTGCATTAAGGGATAGATATTGTTTTTTACTAATATTGTCATAATTAGCGATATATATAATTTTAATTGATCAATTTTAATAAATTATTAAAAAAATAAATGTTTGATGTTTTTTCATTTTTATATTTCGTCACCGTTCATAGCACTCCATACCTCTTTCTTACATCCTTATCCTTTCCCACATCCTTACATGCCTATATTAAATTAGTTATTTTTTTCTAGCAAAATATTCTCTAGAAATAATTTATATGACAAAACAACGTATGCATTTTTATAACAGCTGTATATTTTTATTTAAATCATTAAAATTTGAAGTAAAAAAAGGAATCTATAATTGTATGCTTTAATAATATTTTTTAAACTATAAAAATACTTATATTAAAAGGTGGAAATTTGTTTAGTGCTTAAAGCGGCACAATGATTAAATCCGGTACTGCTAAACCTACATAGTTTCTATTTCTTTATTTTTTCATTGTGAAAATCTATAAAACATTTTCCTGTACATAGTGGAACTTGACTACTATTACAAATAAACGAAATACACGGCTCACTCGCTGCCTTTCGAAGACGTAGCCGAAAACATTAATTGTTTGTACAGGGTGGGGCACTAAAACGGCCGGTTTTCAAAGATAATTTTTTTCAATATATATATATTCTCAGTAGCAATTAAAGGGCCTCACCACCACGTCTTTTTTTAACAAAAACTACTGTTTCTAATTCCAACGCTACGTGTCGACAATTATCACGATTTTCATTCTGAAAAAATATACGGATTCTCCATAATACGTACAAGGGAACGATTGAGCCACATTTTTAATTTTTGTAAATTGAATTGCAATAAATATTGTTGAAAATTCAAAAAAAAAAAAAAAATACAGAATTTCAAATTTAAATATTTAATTACATAAATACAATTTTTAAAATGTGCCTCGATCAATCCCTCGTACATGTTGTGGAAAAAAAGAATGTTTTTTCAGGATGCAAATTAAGATAATCGTTGCGACGTATTGTTTGAATTAGAATCGTATGTTAGAGTAAAAAATAAACATTTTTTCGCGATCACAATATTATGCTCTGACATGTGTGTGTGAGAGCCCTCCGTATCGCTATCGTGCTGCGTCAAGATAATTAAGGTATGCACCGGTGGCGTATTTAGGGGGGGGATGATATGGGTGTTGGAACACCCCCCATCTACTGTATTTTATGGTATTTCACCAAATTGCAAACTTACTTATGGTATAATTTAAATAAACGTAAGTATATGTGAAATCATTATCATTAATATAATTTATATAAATACATGATATTTATTAATGTAATGGGCCGCTGCGATGGCCCAAAGTAGATTTTTTTGAAATTTTTTTTATCTATTTTTCTAAAATCTTGATTTATTCAATTTATTTATAGGACATTACCTTAAATGTAAAAATAAACACTGTAGTTGTATTTTTTGCAAAATTCTCATACGAATCGAGACGTCATATTGTTTTTGGGCTTGTTTCGTGTTTTTCACGTTCGAGTCGCCGACTAAAAAAAAAGTCGTGTGACACATCGATTCGTATGAGAACACTTCACGATAAACATTGGTGATAGTAGTTTGTTGTCAGTTAACAAACATAAGTAATTAAAACAGCTTTAA